GTATAGATCTTATAACAGTTGTCTTTTCTACTTTTTGTTGTTTTCTTAATGAATCTTATGGCTTATTTTACACTTACAGCAAGAGCAGCAATTAGAATTTGGAGCAGTATATACCGCCACAATAACTGAAATCAGGTAATATCAAGTAGTATTTATGCTGTGTGAATTTTTTTAATAGAATGTATATTAAAGCCATGTTAACTTTATATATGTTTGCTTTATTTACTTGGAAATTATGTTTAGATTATACATCAGTTACCATGTAATTAATTATTTCAAGGTATAATTTTATTTTCTACACCAGTTTGTAGATTTCAGTAACATGGTTCTGTGATTATAATTATATTAATAGATTCTTCTGTCTGAATGGTTTAGCCAGATTTCCCATCTTTTTAATTTCCCCAGTAAACAGTTCACAAATCCAAAATAGACATACTTCCTTTTTCTTTCTTTCTGTATTTAATGCCTATGTAGTGCATTTTGTTTTACCAGATTAAAGAATTGGATTAAAAAGAGAAATTAACAGATATAGCATGAATATTCAAAGAAATTTGAAGTGAATAATAGAAGGCAGTGGGATGATTTAATGTCACAAGTGATAACTAAAAAAATCGAATAGCTTATTTTAGACTACAGAATATAAGAGGAATTTTTAAATAAGTACCCCAGTTTATCTAACCCCCTTTCTTAAATCACTTTTTAATAGGTTGATGGTAATTAAAATATTTAATGTCATTTCAAATTTTTTTGAAAATACTATGAAGAGAAGTATAGCAAAAGAATATATATTCTAAAAACTTCTCACTGCACATTTTCTATTACCTTTTCTCTGTCTTCTGATATACAAATATTTTAAAATATGGTGTATTTTCAATTGAAAAAAGTAAGTATCCCTTTTAGATCATCATAACTTTTTAGTTATAAAAACATGTACCGATTCATTATGTTGTACACCTTAAACTTATACAATGTTACATGTCAATAAACGTGACATTCTCAATAAAACGTGAGAAAAAAAAGAAAAAATCATGTACTAGAGGGATTTTTTTGTTTTTTCATTTTGTTCTCTCATGGAAATGTAATCACAGTTTGATTATCAGTAAGTAGATACATAGATATATAATGTTTTAATCAGGCCTATTTCCTTTTTGTAGAGATATTGGAGTAATGGTTAAACTATATCCAAATATGACTCCAGTACTACTTCATAACTCACAACTTGATCAGCGAAAGGTAAAAAAACATTTTTAAGACATTTGCTTTTTAAAACTGCTTTAAAATAATCATAGTGAAATTTCCTAGATTGATGAAAACTGTACACTTTGTCTATTACTCACCTAATAAAGAAAACCAAAAATGATAAAGATGCTGATGAAAAAAGGTTTTACATTGTTCACCACAGATAATTTGCTTCTCTTTCCATAATGAAATAGAAACACCCTTGAATGTATTGGTGGAATAACATCTAGAGTTAACACATAGCAGTTACTTAAAATAGTTAAAACCCTGTTTACCCAATTTTCGTGACCAACCAATTATGTGGCAAGATAATTCTTATGATGTCTTTAAATTTAATCTTTGTTATAGTTCATAGGCATAATATGAAAATATTCAAGAAAAGTGTGGAGGCAGGGGAATAATAAGTGTCTCTTTTACCATATATTAAAATACAAAGCTATAGAGAGTAAAATAGTGTGCTACTGGCCCAGAAATAGACAACCCATGAAACAGGGAAAAAAAGACAAATAAACCAAGTTATGTACCTGCAACTGTAATACATGCTAAACATAAGGGAAGGGAAGATGCCAGGCAGGGAAGAATCATTGATTATTCCATAAATTGTATTGAGACAGCTGGTTGTCATAAAGCAGATTCTCTACTCTTTTTAAAGCAAAATCCCATCTAGATCAAGAAGCTAAATGTAAAAAATAAATAAGTAAATAAGGCGATGAAAGAAGAAAAAGAACATTGGGTCATGGCTGACTGTTAAGGGAGGACTAGAATATTTTAATAATCTTGGAACTAGTAAACTATTTTTCAGCACAGCAAATCCAAAAATGTAAATAAATTGGTAAAATTAGATCTTAGGATTTTTTAACTATATGTCAAAATTACAGTAAGTTTGAAAGACAAGCAGCAATTTAAAGAAAACGTGCTTGTAACATATGAAGAGTTTCATATTTACAAAGGGGCTTATGTAGATCAGGAAGAAACATGAGTATCAATAGGAAAATGAGCAAAGAACATGGACAGACATCACTTTTTTAAAAGTGATGGACAGTCAGCATATTCTTTTTTTTTATCATATTTTATTGATTACACTGTTACAGTTGTCTCAATTTTTTCCCCCTGCCCCAGCCACCCAGCACTTCCCACTTCCTCAGACTATCCCCATACCTGTGTTTATATGCATACCATGGGTAATGCACGTAAGTTCTTTAACTACTCCATTTCCTATACTGTATTTTACATCCCCATAACTATTCTGTGACTACAAGTTGTACTTCTTAAATCCCCTAACCTATACACCCATTCCTCTAAACCCCCCAACCATGTGGCAGCCATCAAAAAGCTTTCCACATCCATGATTCTATCTTGTTTGCTTAGTTTGTTTTTTTTTATTCAATTGTTGACAGGTATGTTTTTTGCTATTTTATTGTTCATAGTTTTGATCTTTTTCTTAAATGAGTCCCTTTAATATTTCATATACTAATGGTTTGGTGATAATAAACTCCTTTATTTTTTTCTTGACTAGGAAGGTCTTTATCTCCCCTTCGATTCTAAATGATACCTTTGCTGGGTGGAGCAGTCTTGGTGTTGGTCCCTGCCACTGATGACTTTGAATATTTCTTGCTAATCCCTTCTAGCACCCAACGTTTCTTTGGAGCAATCAGTTGACAGTCTTATGGGGACTCATCTTTTGGGAAATTAACTGTTTTTCTCTTTCTGCTTTTAAGATTCTCTCTTGCACTGACTGGTGTGGCTCAGTGGATTGAGCACCAGACTGTGAGCCAAAAGGTTGCCAGGTCAATACCTGATTGGGGAACATGCCTGGGTTGTGGGCCAGGACCCCAGTTGAGGGCATGTGAGAAGCAACCGATTGATGTTTCTCTCCTCTCTTTCTCCTTCACTTTCCCTCACGCCAAAAATAAAATCTAAAAAAAAATTTTTAATTTCTTCATCTTTAACCTTTGACATTTTAGATTTTATTTATTTATTTTCAGAGAGAAGGGGAGGGAGGGAGAAAGAGAAGGAGAGAAACATCATTGTGTGTGATTGGTTGCCTCTCACTCACCCTCAACTGGGGACCTGGCCCACAACCCAGGCATGTGCCCTGACTGGGAATTGAATTGGCAACCTTTCAGTTCACAGGTTAGCACTCAGTCCACTGAGCCACACCAGCCAGGGCCTTTTGCATTTTAATTATGTGTCTTTGTGTGAACCTGTTTGTATCCATCTTGTTTGGGACTCTATTTGCTTCCTAGACTTGCATGTCTATTTCCTTCACCAAATTAGGGAATGTTTCTTTCATAATTTTTTGAAATAGAATTCCAATTCCTTGCTCTTTTTCTTCCCCTTCTTCCCCTTGCTTTGTAGAATTATTTTTTCTTCTTGTTGTGATATATTGTTTTTTGTTTCCTTCTGTTCCATATCATTGATTTGATTCCCAGCTTCATCATTCTACTGTTTATTCCCTGCAAACTGTTCTTTATTTCCATTAGTTTATCCTTCATTTCTGACTGGAACTGTCCTCACTAAGGTCCTCACTCAGTTCCTTGAGCATCCTTATAACCAGTTTTTGAACTTGGCATCTAGTAGCTTGCTTGTCTCCATTTTGTTTAGTTCTGTTTCTGGAATTTTGTGTTTTTTTCTTTCATTTGGGCCATGTTTGTTTGTTTCATTTTGGCAGCCTCCCTGTGTTTGTTTCTATATATTAGATAGAGCTGCTTTGACTCCATGTTTTGGTAGTATGGCCTAATGTAGGTGTCCTGTAGGGTCCTGTGACACAGCCTCCTCTTTCACCAAGGTTCACCCTTCCTGTGGGCTGAGTACACCCTCCTCTTGTAGTTGAGCCTTGAATGCTGTTGGCAGGTCAATGGGAGGATTTACCCAGGCCAGTCAGTTGCAAGAACTAGCTGTGACCACTGATCACCAACCTCCAGCCTCGGGGGATATCAGCTGTGCAGGGGCAGGGTGGTAGTGTTCTGACATGGTCTGTAGCTGTCCACTGGTTGCACAAGGTCTGGGGTTTCTCAGGTGGTGTAGGCCAGGCTCAGCCACCACCTGTGTTTTGCCTGGAGCCACCCAGCATGTGCTACCAAGTAATTTGCAGATGGCTGCTACTTGTGCTAGGCCTGAGACCGCTTAGCCAGAGGTATAGGAGCTGTGGGCTCACTGGCTAGCTGTTGTTTGTTTGAGAGGATTTAATAAGATGTGAAGCCAGAGCCCACACCAGCCATTCATATGGAAGTGCCATTGTTAACAGCTTGGGTAGGCCCAAAATTTGGTGTGGCAGAGCCTTAGGGATTTATCATGGTGGAGCCAACCAAATAGAGCCTCATATATGACCCCTGCCTGCTGGTTCTGTAGCTCTTTGCAGGGAAGGCTCAGAAAAGGAATAGTGGTCTCTGCCCACCTTTCTGTCTGGGAGAAAGCTGTCCCCCAGATCTTGCCCTGATGCCAGACGCTTCAGTTCTTCCTTGTAAGCCATTGGTGACTTTCAGGCTGCTACCCCAGTGCTACAGCTCAAAGGGAGAGTCTGAATAAGAGTATGTGGGCTCTTTAAGAGGAACAGCTTGGGATTCTAGTAGTTCCTTTACCAACACAAACCCTGCTGGTTAACAGCCAGAAGTTATGAGGACATATCTTCCTAGCTCTGGAACCCTGGGCTGGGGGGCCTAGTGTGGGAATGACACTCCTTGCTCCCATGACATCCCTGAATTTTTATCCACCACAGGTGGGTGTGGGACCAGCCTCTTCCATGTCTCCATACCTCTTACCTGGATGGATGTGGTTTCTTTAGTTCCATAGTTGGAATTTCATTCACCTTGAATTCTGACAGTTCTGAGTGATGGTAGTTCTATAGTTTAGTTGTAATTTTGATGTGGTTGTGCAAGAAGATAAGCTGTTTTGACTATTCCTCCATCTTGACCGGAAGCCAGATTAATATCCCAACCAACATATTCAATATCTACAGCAATTTTTCAATTTTCCGATAGTTGAAAATTCCCTGTGTGGATGAGAAAGTGGACAAGAAATGGACATTTTCACATACTGTTGATAGGAATATAAATTGGGACAGACTTTGGGAGGTATTTGCTAAATGTGTGCAAGTACCTTTGGACCTAGGAGTTCCACATAGGTCTTTGTTCTGAGAGGACAATTGGAGTAGATGAATACATAATCATTGTCAACACTGCAATTTATCTTTTTCTCAACTTTTTATTTTGAAAAATATATTAAATACCCAAATACCTTTCACCTATAGTTACCAATTATTAACATTTGCAACACTGGAATTTAAAACAGATTAAGTGACCATATATAGGGGGTTGGTTGTATAAATTGTATCATTTGAATACTCAACTGTAATTTTTCATTTATTAATATAAAATTTGTTCAACATATTGAGCAAAACAACAAACTCAGAAGGCTCCATTTTTACAAATGTAGCACACACACACTAAATAGGAGACATTTAAAAAGATATCACTGAAATGTTAATAGTTTATAAGTAGAAGGATTTTAGGTGATTTTCACTATCATCTGAATACTTCTGTATTATTTTAAGTTTTTATAATTATGATTTTATCATCAGAAAAACCAATAAAGCTATTTTCCACTTGGGAAAAAATGTATACTACCATAGATATTATTATGATGCATGACAACTAATAGATTCAACATGTTCTCTTTCAGATTCAACATCCCACTGCCCTAGGATTAGAAGTTGGCCAAACAATTCAGGTACCTGTATTCAACCTTTTAGCCTTAGTAAATTATACTTGAATTTTTAATTATTTCAAAAAGCTGAATCAATCCAATCAACATTTGTGATTTCTGTTATTTTTATGCTGTGCTGCTTCTTTAGAGTTGCTTAAACATTAAGGATTTAAGACAATTCTTCCTCTCAAGGACTTTCCAGTTTAGTTAGAATAATAGTCCCCCTTAGAGCTTTTAAAAATTCATGAGCCAGGTCAGTGATGGCTATGCAGAATCAGTGATTTGGAGACAGAACACGAGAACCTGATAAATGTAACTTTGTTGAAGGTCTTAAATGTCATATTTAAGGAGCTGAGACTCTAATTGCTTTTACTCTGCTTGGGGCTAAAAGTTTTTGAGTTTGATAAAAGCCATGTTGTTCAGTTCTAGAACTGATAACAAAATTGACCTTTTATAGTTATTACGAGTAGGTGAAAGAACTTATGCTGGCATGGGTGTTTTTTTGGCCATACTACATTCTGTTGCAGTTATGCCTAATACCTATGATCTGAGTAACTATGACTACTGATTTATTCCCAGTCTATAATCTCATTGTTCAAGTAGCCTATAGGGAAAGATGAGAACTAAAACATTATATCTCTGTATAAGAGTAGTTTGTTTTTGTTTTGTTTTTTTAACATCATAAGGGATTTAAAAACTGCCACATTTCTCCCTTTCACTGTCTAAGGTCAAGCCAAATAACCTCCAATGTGATAGTCCTTTAAGCAGTAGTCTGAGTGACCTAAGTATAATCCTATATAGTTTATAATACAATTAGGCTCAGAGAGCCCTGGTCTACAATTATTCACTGACTTTCACTATTGTTCTGGTATAGGGACCAGCCCTGGAGAGAATAAGTAGGCACACATAAGTCTAACAGACTGTTATAATTAGGCAAATAATGCCCATATCTCTTTTCCTTTTTTATAATCATTACTTAAGCAAATTATATACAGGGTTCAGCACAAATAACGCCCATTTTATGAGCTGGTAATCTATACCAAACCTTGTATTACAAAATCATAAGCGTGTAATTCTATAATAGCATGTAAATGTTATGTTACATTGTAACATGTAACACTCATGCACACCATATGTGCTTTCTGTCTCATGCAAGACATTCACATACCCTACTAACTACACTAAACAAGTCTTACAACATAATTCAATAGTAATGTCAGCAAATTTGTCCCAAATTCTGTCTTTCAGTTCATCAGTGTTCAGTCTTGTACACAAGATCTTTAAGGACATTCCACAAAAAGAAATCAGGCAGAGTTAGGTCTAGAGATTGAGCTGGCTACTCCAATGGCTCTCGTGGTCCTAAGCATCTCCCTTCAAAATGCATGCCTAGCCATTCTGACACTCAACACATGTGGTGTGCTGCTGGAAGTCATGTTCAACTCTAGGCCACAATTCTGTTTTTAGGACATGTAGGTAATTATTCTGATTAACAGTACCATCAAAGAACACTGGCCCAATTATACCTGTTACTGATACTGCCACCCACACTGTTACCCCTGGTAAGTTTTTGTTTCTCTAAAATAATGTATGGATTCACATTGTTCCAATGCACATAATTATGGCTAAAGATATGACTGTTCAATTTGAATGTAGTCTCATCCAACCACCATACCTTGGCAAGTTCTCATCCTTACATAATTTGACCAAAAATCTTTCACAAAATTCTACCGAATCTCCATCATGTAAGGAGTGTAGCAAGTGCAGTATGCATGGCTTCATTTTGTCCAGCAACCTTCAAACACGTCTGTCACTAATACTGAGTTCCCCTGACAGATGCTTACTGGATTTTTGAGGTCTTTGTAGCAGTAATGCCTGTAATTTGGTAGCCTTTTCTTCTGTCTTCACTAAAACTTGTCTTCCTGATCTTTTGGCATTATGCACAAAAATGTTTGACTCAAACTTTTTGATCAGACTTGTGATGTTACAACTCTGTCCAAGTCATATGCCAAATTCTTCACATAACAAACAAGTGGTTGCTGCTCCATTGCACTGGTTTTGATAGTATAGCTTCACTGTTCTTACTCAATTTTCCCTTGTCAGTCAGTGGGCAATTGTACTTTGGGGAACCTGGAACACAAAGATTACAACACGTCTGTTTATACTATGCTATACTACTTTTAAAAAGGTGTTATTTCTGCCAGACCCTATATATAGATAGGGTCTGTATACAACCTCACTTAGCACTGAGCTATGCTTTCAATGAACAAGTAAAATCATTAATCATTGCTTTATTTGTACCACATAAATTTAAATATCTTTTAATTTGGATGTCAATCAATGTGCAGTAACTTTAAATTTGTTTCTTTAACACAGGTGAAATACTTTGGACGTGATCCAGCTGATGGAAGGATGAGGCTTTCTCGCAAAGTGCTACAGTCTCCAGCTACAAATGTTGTCAAAACTCTAAGTGACAGAAGCAGTATTGTAATGGGAGAATCTGTTTCACAGTCATCATCTAACTCTTCCCCGTGATATATTTTTAAGGAAAATTAAATCTAGAGTGATAATCTGTAGAACAAAATTTCAGGAGTATCTTCTAATGTATAGATTTATATGTAACTATAAATACATTATAATGATTTATATTAAAATACTCATTGTACATGTGCCATTTTTTTATTTCAAGAGTTACCTATATTTCCTTATTTACATTACAAATCAAATATTAAAAGTAAACCACTTATACATCTTAGAAAATGTTACTGCCTTTTATTTCCTATAATTCTGAAATTTCTGAAAGCTTAAAATTAATAGATCACATGTATTACTATAAGGTATCTCTTCCCACATATTTACTCTTAGTCATCTTATGGCTCACATCTTTGCCCAATTCTACTTGCCTACAAATATTTCAAACTGGAACTTGTCATATTCAAAGCCTATTGAATATGTCCAGAAATATGCCTGTTTCTTTAGTCGAGTTACCAGATATAGCAAGAAGCTGAGGGAGCTTGTTTGATGTTTTTAATGATGTTCTGCCTTTTAAATTGGTCACAAAACCATAAACATAGTAGAGTTAATACTATAAATTGGATCCTAATTAGAATGAGGTAGTAGTTTTTCAAATTTAGAAAATATTTAGGAAATATATAAAAAGCACTGACTCATCAAATAGACTAGGGTCATATTTTGATTTTATAAGAGGTGGAGGAATCATGATTTTCAGTTAATCCCAGAAAGTCATATATGTAGAGGCTGTTGATATAATTACTAGTTAACTGTTCACTCCCATCATTTAATATATCACATTATAATTCTACAAAGTAAATGGCTCATAGAAGTCATAGTGTGAATACTTTTATAAATCTGGTATACTATTTGCAAATTCAGGACTCAGGGCTAACTAGTTTGTAAAATACAAAAAATGCAACAACAAAATGTTTTTTAAATGAATTTAAGTCAGTAAACATTGACTATACATTTATAGTGTGTAAAATAGCATGTTTGCAGTATTGATATACTTCCTGATATATTGAAGACTAACTGAAAAATGAAAGATTAAACTATGCTGTGTACATTTGATCTTTTTTATAATTTTTATTCTCTTTGCCTTTTAAGACATCATCCTTAATGATAGAATTTCAAAATTTTAATTTATGTAATTTTCCTTTTTTTCAGAGCGACTCCCAACTGCTAATACGGGAAAATGTAGCTAGTTTTTTTTTTCATAATCTCATTGATTATGCTATTACATTTGTTGCAATTGTTCACTTTTTGCCCCCCCTCCACAATACTCCCATTCCCTCCAGCATTCCCCCCCCCCCCTTAGTTCATGTCCATGGTATGTAAGTTCTTTGGCTACGCCATTTCCTATACTGTTTTTAACATCCCCATATTTTTTGTACATACCAATTTGTGCTTTGTAATCCCTGTACCTTTCACCCCATACTCTCCCTTCCCCCACTGTACTCCTCCCTCCCAACTGATAACCCTACAAATGATCTCTGTATCTATGATTCTGTTCCTGTCCTGTTTGCTTGCTTAGTTTGTTTTTATAGATTCAGTTGCTAGTAGTTGTGAATTTGTTGCCATTTTAATGTTCATAGTTTCAATTGTTTCCTTAAGTCCCTTTAACATTTCATGTAAAAATGTCTTGGTGATGATGAACTACTCTAGCTTTACCTTGTCTGGGAAGCACTTTATCTACCCTTCTATTCTAAATGATACCTCTGCTGGATAGAGTAATCTAAGTTGTAGGTCCTTGCTTTTTTATCACCTGAATACTTCTTACCAGTCCCTTCTAGCCTGCAGAGTTTCTTCTGAGGAATCAGCTGACAAGTCTTATGCCAACTCCTTTGTAGGTAACTCTCCTGTTTTCTTGCTTTTAAGATTTCTTAAAAATATATTTTATTGATTATGCTATTACAGTTATCCCATCTTCCCCCCTTTATTCGCCTCCACCCTGCACACCCCCACCCACATTCCCCCCCTTTAGTTCATGTCCATGTGTCATACATATATGTTCTTTGGCTTCTACATTTCCTATACTATTCTGAACCTCCCCCTATTTTCTACCTACCATTTATGCTACTTATTCTCTGTACCTTCCCCACTCTCTCCCCCTCCCACTCCCCTGTTGATAACCCTCCATATGATCTCTATTTCTATGGTTCTGTCCTGTTCCAGTTGTTTGCTTAGTTTGCTTTTGTTTTTCTTTTAGGTGTGGTTGTTAATAACTGAGTTTGCTGTCATTTTACTGTTCATATTTTTATCTTTTTCTTAGATAAATCCTTTTAACATTTCATATAATAAGGGCTTGGTGATGATGAACTCCTTTAACTTGACCTTTCCTGGGAAGCACTTTATCTGCCCTTCCATTCTAAATGATCCAGCTTTGCTGGCCATTAATCTTGGATGTATGTCCTTGCCTTTCATGACTTGAAATACTTCTTTCCACCCCTTCTTGCCTGTAAGGTCCCTTTTGAGAAATCAGCTGACGGTCTTATGGGAACTTCTTTGTAAGTAACTGTCTTCTTTTCTCTTGCTGTTTCTAAGATTCTCTCCTTATCTTTAATCTTGGGTAATGTAATTATGATGTGCCTTGGTGTGTTCTTCCTTGGGTCCAACTTCTCTGGGACTCTGAGCTGCTTGGACTTCCTGGAAGTCTATTTCCTTTGCCAGATTGGGGAAGTTCTCCTTCATTATTTGTTCAAATAAGTTTTCAATCTTCCTCTTCCTCTTCTCCTTCTTGCACCCCTATGATTCGGATGTTGGAACGTTTAAAGATGTCTTGGAGGTTCCTAAGCCTCTCCTCATTTTTTTAAATTCTTGTTTCTTCATTCTTTTCTGGTTGGATGTTTCTTTCTTCCATCTGGTCTACACTGTTGATTAGAATCTGTTTCCTTCCCATCACTACTGGTTCCCTGTACATTTTCCTTTATTTCACTTAGCATTGCCTTTACTTTTTCATCAAATTTGTGACCAAATTCAACATTTCTGTGAATATCCTGATGACGAGTGAACTGTGCATCTGATAGGTTGGCTATCTCTTCGTCGCTTAGTTGTATTTTTTCTGGAGCTTTGATCTATTCTTTCATTTGGGCTTTTTTTGGAGGGGCTCGGCACACCTGTCACGTAGTAAGGGGCAGAACCTTAGGTGTTCACCAGGGCAGGACAACCCACGTTGCTGCTTTGTGACGCTGGATGTGGGGAAGAGGTCCAAGAGGGAACAGGGGTGCTTGCTCCACTCTCTGCTGGATTTCAGTCATTCACGCCTCTACCCACAAGCAAAGTAGGCCCTTCTGGTGCTGATTCCCAGGCGGGTTGCCTTGTGTATATTCTAGGACCCTGTGGGTCTCTCCAATGAACTCTCTTGTGAATCTAGAGGTTTCTCCCACTGCCTCCTCAACCCCCACCAGTGTTTTCAATCAGAGGTTTGAGGCTTTATTTCCCAGTGGTGGGACCCCAGGTTGCAAGGTCTTGTCTGGCTCCCCAGGTGTTCCTCCTAGTTTATCCACACGTGAACGTAGGACTGCCTGCTCCACCAGCCACCGCCTTGCCTGCTCCAGTCCTCCACCACTGCTTTGCTGCAAGTCCTCTCCCCCGGCTGCCTGTCTCCACCCCTCCTACCAGTCTGGATGGATGTTTCTTCTTTAACTCCTTGGTTGTCAGACTTCCATACAGTTCAATTTTGTCAGTTCTGGTTGTTTTTTCTTTTTAAATTGTTGTCGTCCTTATTTTGTTTGTGCGAGGAGGCACCGTGTGTCTGTCTAAACCTCCATCTTGGCTGGAAGTCCTTAAGATTCTTTATCTTTAACCTTTGGCATTTTAATTATGATGCTTTGGTGTGGTCTTCTTTGGGTCTATCTTGTGCTACCTGGTCTCATGTCAATTTCCTTCACCAAATTAGGTTAAGTTTTCTTTCATTATTTTTTTCAAAGAAGTTTTCAATCTCTTGCTCTTCCTCTTCTCCTTCTGCCATCCCTGTGATTCAGGTATTCGTAAATTTAAAGATGTTCCAGAGGCTCCTTAGCCTATCCCTTTTTTTTTCCCCCTGATTAAATGCTTTCTTCTTCCTTGTATTCAAAATCATTGATTTGACTCTCAGCTTCATACCCTCCACTCTTGGTTCCCTGGAAACTTTTATTTCACTTACTGTAACCTTCATTCCTGCCTGGGTCTTTTTTATGCTGTTGGGAGTACCTACCCTAAGAGTTCCTGGAGCATCCTGATAACCAGTGTTTTGAACTCTGCATTTGATAGTTTGCTTATCTCCATTTTGTTTAGTTCTTTCTCTAGAATTCTGTTCTGTTCTCTCATTTGGGCCATATTTCTTTGTCTCCTCATTTTGGCAGCCTCCCTGTGTTTGTTTCTGAGTATTAGATAGAGCTGCTTTGACTTCCCATCTTACTAGCATAGCCTATTGTAGAAAAGCACACCTGTTAAGCTGTATGGGGCAGAGTCTTAGGTGATACCAGAATGGGGCAACCTGTGTCACCACTCTCTGGCTCTGTGTGGGGAAGGGCTCAGAGAGGGGGCAATGCTGCTGCCTAGCCTCTGGAGTTTTGCTAGGAGGAAAGCTATGTCCCAGTGCTTACCCTGTTATTGCCCTGGTGCTGAATCCAGGGGGATGCGGCGGGGGGTGGGGGGGGGGGGTCTGCATGAGTTCTAAGTCCATTACAGGCCCTTTAAGAGAATCCTGCAGTTTCTTGGGCTTCCCCAACCCCCACTGGTTTTCACAACTAGAATTTATGTGGACTTATCTTCCTGGTACTGGAACGCTGGGCTGCGTGGTCTGGTCTGGGGCTGGGATCCCTCACTCCTGAGGTATCCCCAATTTTTATCCACATGTAAATGTGGGACTGCCCGTTCCGTGTCTCCAGCCCTCTCCACGCATCTCTGGGTCTTTGTCCCTCCTACCCATCTAGAATAACGTGGCTTCTTTAAATCCTTTGTTGTCAAACTTCCATAGAGCTCATTTTCTGACAATTCTGGGTAATATTTGTTTTGTAGTCTACTGATAATTTTTGTTATAGTTGTGCATAGAGGCATGATGTGTTTACCTATGCCTCCATCTTGACCTCAAGTCTGAAGCTAGTTCTTAAACTCTAGGGACTGGCAGCATCACAAAGTGACAATACTGTTTAGTTCATTAATCACAGACCACTAAAAGTATCCTATTTCCACTTAAACCAAGAGCCTACACTAATGGCTGAAGTTTTCTTTTTGTCTTCATTCAAATCTTGGTAGTTTTCCCTATTTTCTAATAAAGTTTTTTCTATGAGGGCTATTACATTCTAAAAACCAATTCATAATGACTCAAATCAAATGCAATGTCCATCTTTGGTAGTTAGTGCAATATTGGTACTTACAAGATGTGTTTCTTTATATTCTTTATTGACAGCACCCTGTCCTTAAATTACAGTTTTTATACAATCATTTTTCCTTCTCTCATAGATTTTCTTGAATTTTGGGATCTAAAATTGTAGGATGAAGATCATTATCTTTCTTAGTTGAGTCAATTGCAGCATTCATTTACTGAACATTTACATGTGCCAGGCACTATAATGTGTGCAGGAGATGCATCAGTAAACAAAATCTAAGTTCCAATGCTCACATTACTAGTGAGTGGAAACTGACAGTAAGTATATATTGTAAAATGTCAGGTAGTTAAAGGAGCTTCACAGAGAGGCCCATATTTTCTGCAGTGTAAAAACAGAAATGGGATTTGACAGTTACAGAGCTCTGAAGATACATCAATGCTCAACCAAAGGGGGTCTGCTATGCAGTTAAGGGCTTGGTTTGGAAAGCCTGAAGCTTCGAAATGTGGGATGGGTTTGGGCTCTGTAGACTCCCTGGGCCCTCAGGGCTTGTGTATGTGGCTCATACCTCCTAGTAAGTGATAACATTCCCCATGTTGTGCCCCTTCTATGTCCCACCCCCTTGCAGAAGGACTTTTTCCATAGTTTCTCCTATTTCTGATAGGTTTATTTTTTAAGAAAAAATGGGGCTCTAGCTGGTGCAGCTCAATGGATTGACCACCGGCCTGCAAACCAAAAGGGTCGCCAGTTCGATTCCCAGGGCACATGCCTGGGTTGCAGGCCAGGTTCCCAATGAGGAGCACATGAAAAGCAACCACACATTGCTGTTTCTCTTCTCTCTTTCTCCTTCCCCTCTCCTCTCTAAAAATTTAAAAAAAAAAAAAAAAACCTTTTTAAAAAAAGTTTTAACCCTGGCTGGCATAGCTCAGTGGATTGAGCACGGGCTGGGAACCAAAGTGTCCCAGGTTCGATTCCCAGTCAGGGTACATGCCTAAGTTGCAGGCCATAACCCCCAGCAACCGCACATTGACGTTTCTCTCTCTCTCTATCTCCCTCCCTTCCCTCTCTAAAAAATAAATAAAATCTTAAAAAAAAAGTTTTAAAAAACTGGATAAGGGGATAGAGTGATAAATAAGAGATACAATTTTAGATAAAATAATCCAGAATGGCCTGAGTACGTAACATGTGAGCTGAGACCAGAAGGAAGTAGAGGAAGATGTGCAGCTATCTGGGGAAGAGAATTCCAGATACAGGGACTAACAACTTAATTTGCACTTGTTATTTTAAGCTTGGAATATAGAGCAACCTTTCATTTCACATACCTATTTCACATAGTCTTTTACTCCTTAATCTTGTGCCTGTTCTTCACCAGAAGTAGAAAGTAAATTTTATTAAAAAATATAAAAGGAGATGAACAGTATACAGTGTTATCTTTAAAGCATTTAATCAGGCAGGAATATGCATGGTTACTTAAGGGAGACACCAAGATCATGTGAAAGTTAAACAGGCTTATACAAAATTCCAGACTCAAAAGTTGAGACTAGGATGGTAGGCAGTGAAAATGGAAGAGAATGTGTCTTGGTATCAAGAGACAGAAACCAACCTAAGTTCAGCTAAAACGAAGGAGAATTTTTTTAACAGGATTAAATCTTAGCATAATCTGCCTAAGATTTAATTGGCCTACTAAGGAAGGAAATAAATTACACACTGAAGGAATTCAAATAATAAACTAGCATGTGGTAACAGCCAGAGGATTACATTTGGGATTAGATTTTTGGGGTGCTTGATCAAGAGGACTGGAGAACATGACTGGATAATCAAGATTTCACTATTTGAGACCTTTGGGACAGACAGTTATCACTTATTTACCCTTTCCCCTCAGCCTTGAACACTTTTGCAAGCCAAACTGCTACTCAGGGATGCTCTAACATCAGGCTCAAAATTGTGTGACGCTTTCTCTGACCCAAGACAGAAATGTCATTTTCTCTAGACCCAAAATGCATTTTTTCCACATCAATCATAGCAATTAATAGGCTCTACTGATAAGCATAACTTCTTAATTTAAGTACAATTTCTGAGGTCCTCTTTAAATTAAAAATAATCCTTAATTTCTAGATTTGAAATTAGAATTGATATTTTTCAATCAGGTGCCTGCTCTGTGTAAAATGTTTCTCGTTTTAGTGAACCGCTGAAGGGTGACCAAACGTAAGAGCTGGTAAAAACAAAAGCAAGTTTTGACAGGACCATTAAACAATGACTACAATTCCCAGGATGCCCTGCCGGTCAACACGTGTATTTCGCCTGTTTTTCACCTTTCAAGCTAATGGGTTGTAAAGAATTGTCGGATGAACAAGCTAGGACCCTCTGAAAGAACGAATAAAAGAATTTTACCAAGAACGAACGGGGATTAAAATAAACGACTGTCCAGTGCATCACTTGTATCCACCACGGCAATGTCTGACAACAAACATCAATGCCGAAAGAATTCCTCCTTCACTTATTCAGTGCAAAAGACCTCCCGATAGATTACGCAAGAAATTTCCATATGAGAAACTCAAAAATATCAAAAACACTGCTCTTGGATGTGTTAGAAAGGCAGTTCCCCACGAGTTCCCTAAACTTACCTGAAGACTTATTTTCTGAGGTAACAACCACAATAAGGTCGCCGTATTTTCGTGAAGCAGAAGTATGCCTTTCAATGGCAAAACTACCATGAACATAAGGGTGAACTGCTTTGGCGGGAAATAGGAAATTGTCAACACGCTTAACTGTAACAGACTCCCACACAAGTTTTAGTGGTTTTTGAGTAGCCTTAAAATACTACTCCAAGTTCCCACGTCTTGACAAAAAGAGGTTTAAACTATTTTTCTCCTATAGGCTGACAGAGTGAGCTTCCACTCTGGAATGTGACCACATCTTCCATTTTGCTCAAGGTTAGCTCAGTTCAAGGATGAGTACCTCCCAACCTTGCTTTTCCTCAGAGATTGGCCCCAAGACTCTTCATACCACGCGCACATCCAGCAACCTGACGAAACGAGATTCAGGACTCGATTCTCGTCGCTACTCAGAAAAGTCTCGCGTTTCCAGCAAGGATGGGAGATCGCGATAACCAAACTCTAGGGCGAGATCCCGCGCTAGCAGGCGTGGCCGAGAGAGGAAGAACTTGCACTTAGACCCTCCCACCTTGGTTCAGCACATTGCGTCACGAGAACGCTAAGTTCTGCTGGCCCGGAAAGCACAGGCAGAAGCTGCAGTAGTGTGGGTTGGCCTCGTCGGCTGCCGTAGCCCCTGCTAGTACAGCCCGTGCAAACCTGCCGGAGGAGGAAGAGAAAGGCAGAGAGAATCGGGTTACAAGATGGCGGACGTGCAGTAGTTACAGCGGCGGGGGTGGCGGGAGAGCAAGCGAGCTCTGGGAGGGAGCAAAGGAAGGGTGGGTGGGTGTGTGGAGGGGTGAAGTGAGGGGTAAGCGGAACTCTGGTCATAGAGGTCTCGGTGGCTCCTGTTGCCCCTTCTTGCGGCTGAACCGTGGGAGCCATGGTGAACTTGGGCCGAGCTGGAGCTGGAGCTGTCGCCGCTGCCGCTACGGTCTCTCAAGAGTGAGAGGCGGGGACGAGGTGAACGTGGAGGCGGTGGTCGAAGCTGCAGGGACAGCAGCCACAATGTCGGATACACGGAGGCGAGTGAAGGTCTATACTCTGAATGAAGACCGGCAATGGGACGACCGAGGCACCGGGCACGTCTCTTCCACTTACGTGGAGGAGCTCAAGGGGATGTCGCTGCTGGTTCGGGCAGAGTCCGACGGTAAGGTTATCGAAACGGTAGGATAGGGTACAGTACTTCCCGGTTGGGCACAGCCCTGGGGTTTAGGCCGCAGGCGGGGTACGGTTACTACCACCTCTTGGTAGAATGCATTGGTTTTGTTCCTGCACTTTTCTGTACGGCAAAAACAAACTATGCTTTGTCCGCATTTACCCCCAGTCAGACACCGACTCTCTGTTCCCCCGCCTCCTATTTCTGTTACGGATTTGACCCCTTCCTCTCCAGTCTCTTTTCTTTTGAAGAGGAGAGAGTGTGAAAAAAGAAGGGAGGAAGCTCATGAGACCAGGTAGGGAGCCGACCCTCCCTCCTCTTTCTATTTTATCAATTATGTGTCTGATATGAAAGGTTTAGTGAAACTTCTCTTTGAGTCTTTTGGGGGTTTTTAACCGATTTTACCAACGAGCCCCAGTTGCCACAGTCGGCAGGTGCTGGGGAAAACCAAAAAGCACCTTTTAAAGCCTGGGGTTATTACACACGGTTGCCATAATACATGCACGCACACGCACAAGCACGTACATCTTTCGTCTGGCGTACGTCCAGCCTACCTTTGTGGGGGTGCTGTGGATTCTTTACAACCTAAACAAGTTAGGACACCAAAGCAGATAGTTAACTTGTACTCATTGTTTTATTGTACCAGTCGTATGTGAAGTATTTTTAAATTTTGAAATGTAGAGCCGTAACTAAAATTCCGTTCTCATTGTAATCTGAAACTATGTACAAATAATGGAAAAATAACTGTCTTAGATTTATTCTTGATGTATTTTGTACTCTTGTACTTTCTCTTTTATTTTAAGTAGTCTTGGACGTTTATTTTTATGTGCAGTGTCCTTCCTTTTGTTCTTAAGAAGAAAAGGATAAATGCAATTCTGTAATTTGTGTGCTTAGATTCCTATTGTGGTCCTTTGTAATATGTTTTGTTAAACTGGAAATGCAATAAAATAACTGTTAAAAAGAGTTTGGCTTCAAGTGGTCATTTAGACCTTAAAATTTCATTTCAATAAAACTTTAATAGTCACCAAGCCTCTTTATATTCTTGGTCTGAATGTTTGTCTTAGATGGATTTTTTTTTTTAAGGGTTTCTGGGGGTAGGTGATGTGTTCTAAATTAAATGTGAATTAGAGTACATTTGATTAGTTCAGGTGTCTAGCTGAGTAAAGAGAACATGAAATATTTTTCTATTTTTTATGTGAACTGTGATTTTTTTATTCAGGGCTTTATATATTGAAACTCATTTATAAATACTGTTTTTTATCTTTCAGGATCACTACTCTTGGAATCAAAGATAAATCCAAACACTGCATATCAGAAACAACAGGCAAGTAGTTGTTTATCTTTAATTTGAAAGACTTCATCTGTGATCAAGGAAGTATTAATCTGACAAAGATGGGAAAGCTTTCCTGACAAGAAAAACATGTTTGGTAAACAAAGTTACAGAGCATATATATTTCCCTTGCAGATTAAAAGTTTCAAACTGAAAAGTGAATGTTTATGTACTGGCAATAATTATCTTTGAATTAGGCCACAGTTAGTTTATATTAGAATACAATGTATTCATTAGTCTTATTTAACCTGTAGCTGGCTGGGTCTCTGCTATACCCTGTACACTAAAGGCCTTTTATTCTCAACCACATTTAAAGGAAATGGCATACAAGAAAATTCAAAGGAGTCCTCTTTAAAGCAAGGAAAGCCTGTTTGTGGTGTGAAATTAGATCCTTTGACTGAAGCAAAGGTAGTTTTAAAGTATAAACATTAAAATGATCATCTTTAATTGTATATTTTTAATATAATAATCAGTGATACTTTACAAAAGTGTACATTGTCAAGTATGTATTGTTCTTTGTTAATATTTGTTGTCTTATTTGGGAAAAGAAAACTTGTGTTTTAGCATACAGAATGATTTAATTTGGGAATGGCAGCAGTGAATCATCCTATTCTTCTGTGAATGTTCATTTTTATTATGAAAGATATCAAAATTGAAAAGTACAGAGAATAATATAATGAGTATCTGTGTAACACCACCAGATTGAACAATGTTAACATACCATATTTGTTTCAAATCTTTTTGTAATTTTGAACATTGTGGGTAGTGTTAAAGCCCCCTTTGTACCCATCTCATTCTATTCATTCTCTATCTTCCCTATAGGTAACCACTATTCTGAAGTTGATGTGTATTATTTCTGTACATGCTTTTAAACCTTTTCTGCATATGTATGTATCCATAAATAATATGTAGTCTTTTGTGTGTTTTTAAACTTTATACTACTGACCTCGTAGTCTTACATGTATTCTGCAACTTTTATTTTTCACTCGACATTATTTTGGAGATTTGTTCATGTTAACAATGTAGATCTAGTTTAAAAAAAAATTCACTGTACAGTATTCTAATGTATGATATACTCCTGTTAGATGTTTGGATTATTTCCAGATTTGTGTGTGTGTGCAGTGTATAACGTGAATATGGCAGAGATTTTTGAAGGAAAAGATAAATTATGTTAAGATTATGTTTACATTATTGATGCCTACTTTCTTCAAGGCCAGTGAAATTTTGAATACCCAGAATCAAATACTTCCTGTTGGAGGGATGAAACTATGTCTGTTGCACAATATTAGTAAAAGTCTTACTGTTAAACAATTGTTTTGTGTATGCAATATATTAATTGATGCTTTGAAATATTTTAATTTTCAATATTCAGTTAATAGATTTTTTCCTCTTCTTAGAAAATACTGTGTGTCCTTTCTGATGGAGAATCAAATTAAACATTTGTCCTGCTTTGAACACCTGAAGATGTTTCCCACACCATAGACATTTATGTAAACTTAATTTCTAAGTTAGCCAGACTCTCCTTGCACTGAATTTTGCCGGATAGTCACTTTACTATTTTTTTTGTTGTTGTTGTTGTTGCTTGTTTGTGGGGAAGAAATACTAATATTTTATGATTCTTTTTTTCCTATCTGCATGAACATACAATTCTCAGGAACTGTGATCTTAAATGTGATTCCCTACAAATTAGTAATATGGATTCTTCTCAAATTGTGTATAAGATCCTTTTGCTATTGTTACTATTGGAAAGATCACATTATGGCAGAATTTTGTGTATAAAATAGTTTCCGAACATTAGTCTAAAAATACAGTGTTTTAAATACTTTGGTACATAGTTTTGTGTGTAATGTTATTCTGCTAGAAAATTAAAGTAATTGAAGGGGAAAAAATTTCCAAAAAAAAATTTGTTCTGTTAGGAAAATGTTTTCTATAACTAATCGCATTCAAATAATATACTGTGGGGTTCTTTTTCAATGTTTTTTCCTAATTGAAGTACTTTTACTAAATAGCATTAAAGTTTAAGAAAACTTTGGCAATAAGAATAATATGGAAAAACTTGTACCTAAGAATGATAATCCTGTGTAAATGGGGTCACTTGTTTTACTTTATTTTTGTTTAAATTGAGTGCACTTTTCTAACAAATTGGACAGCCATATAGGGGTTATGTTAAACAGTTTCTTTGTAATAGATATGATTTTTTATATTTTCACCAAAATCTTACCCAGTTTCACTTTTTACTAAGTTACACAAATTCAAATTTCCAAACACTTTGCTATTTTTGTTTATCAGAATTACCTTTTTTAGAATGTCATTTAAATTATTCAATAAATTAGTCTATAAAATTTTTGTTTCCAAAATTGATATGAAGTATATTGTTCATTAGTGCATTTTTAATAAGTGAATGGATGAGACATTCATAGGCTATTTTACTATACTAAAATATATTAAGTTCAGAGAGTAGTATTTAGCATTCTTTTTTTAACATTATAGTTCTACAATAAGCTAAGGAGTGAACTGTATGTTCAAAATAGTTAGGTTGAAAGATACTCGGTATCAGTAGATTATTATGATTTACACCACTTTCTTGCATACTGTGGGCAATACTGTAGTAGTTAATGGGAAGGACCAGTATACACATGAGAAAGGGAAGAGAATGACTATATGGTAGAATATGAAAAAGTTCCTGATATGTTTGCCAAAACTTTAAGTCATTTAGACAGCCCCACTAATCTTGAGTCACTTGGATGTGTATTTTTTATATGTAACAATTTGTGTTACTGGGTTTAGGAAGTACAATAAAGTTCTCATCCTTGATTTTATTGGTAAACAAGACATAACAGGTGAAACAGTTACAGAATGATAATAAAAGCTCATAAATGTTTTAACTGAATCTTCATTAAAAGGCCATGAACAAATTTCACAGATAA